CTCCATATACAAAATATATGTATTCAAAAGTCCATTCTTGCTATTTGACTTATCAAAATCCGTTATTGACTATAGCGATTAAAGTCGATAATTATATACGACGATAGGCGATAAAAAACATTCACACGATCAAATTGGAGTCAAATCCACGGTCTACTAAAAGCATGTCACTTTCAATTGATGAACCATACTACTTACATATCTGTCAATATTAGTAACACATATCACAGTATTACTTAATACCCTCTTTTAGAATACTTACTAGTTTAAATATTTAACTTAATACATTATTTATAAAGGACACCATGATAAATGATCTATTCACTGAATTATTGCATCATGTAATATAATTAGGTAAAGTTACTAATGATAGTATCCTCATCTACAATCGACATCAGCAACATCAATAAATATTGAAATCATCATTTAATACAATACCTATTTCACACTATACAATATCATTAATTATCCAAAGTAATAAATTCTTTCCTAAACAGTATAATATGGTGTGATATTATCATTATTATTCATCGTTTGAACAACAACGTCAGAAAATAGTTACTCAGATCATACACACAGAAACACATCAGATCAGATCGGATCATTTCTTCAAAATATACAATCTCATTGATGCCGTTAAAAATATTTTCTTTTTTCCAACTTGAATACATATGTGTAGGCACTGTTTGTAAATGTTATGATTATAAAATTAATCTAATTAAGATTATATTGCGGTGTATGCTACTGATGTTGACAGATATAAGTAGTATGTATCATGAATTGAAAGTGAAATGCCTAGCGGCAGAAAGTTAAAAGAAAGAAAAAATCGAAGAAGAATGAACGAGAACAGTGAATGATTGATGTAAAAACGAAGGAACAATCAAGTTTGAGACGACTGACTGATATTTTGTAAATGAATTATTTAAAAGACTTATATATATGATCGAAGAATATTCTTTCCGATAAATTCTCTTCAGGTTCTACAATTATATATATTCAAATTAATCATCCTCAAAAATGGACAGGTTAAGGGTAAAGTATATCGTTTAAAGCATGTGGATTTAGGATTGTCAAACAAAATAGAATACATTTTAATAGTTGAAATCATGAGTCAACTGAAGCTAGACTACCATGGAAAACCTGAAAGTACTGGACAGCCGTTTTGTCTTATTGTGGAACTCCTCAGCAATGCGAATCTACGATCCCGACTCGCAAGATTCGAAACCTGGACCTATCAGTCTCACACGCGAGCGTCTAACTTTAACTAATCCACGAAATTGAGCGACACATCCAACATATGCTCACTAGTGACGGTCTATTTTTTATTTATTTATTTAATTGTTTGAACACATAAATATTACTACAAGAGGGCAACAAATACATATGCGCCACACAAAACAATGATAATTCGGAGAGAAATAGTAAAAAAAGAGAACAATAACGAAGGGATTGGTGTAAGGCAGTGTAATAATAATAATAATAATAATAGTGAGGGAAACAGAAACGTACAATCAGAAGAAATCTTTTAGTTAAGGAAGAAGCAACCATTTGTTATGAAGAAAGTAAAAGAAAGTTACAGCAAGATCGCCACTGACTTCTATTCTGAGCCATATCTGATAACGTCTCTAGCCACTGTGTTGCACCATCTCTCGGACCCCAGCCAGGTAGTCGTGAAGGACCAACAGAAGCCAGCCCTTTGCAGATCTCTTTCATCCCACGACACCATGTCATATACTAACCGCCTCTCCGCTTTTTCCAACCAGTCCCAGAGTCGGCAAATAATGCAAGATGTGGAATTCTCTGGGATGAAATTCGTGGAACATGTCCAGGCCACCGAAGTCGGTGTTTTAAGATGATGACACCAATCGCATTATCGTCTCTGTGCCCGAACACACGATGCCGAACCTCTGCATTACTAACATGGCGTTGCCACTGAATGTCAGCAATCCTTCGGAGACAGCGATGATCGAACACAGAGAGTCGTCTAACGTCCTCAACTCGGAGAGACCAGGTTTCACAAGCATAGAGCAAAACTGCTCTCACCGACTCGTTGTAGTCCGACCTTTTACAGCCAGACTAACATCACGAAGGCGCCAAAGATGGCCCAGATTGACATAAGCCGCTCTGGCTTTCACTATACGTGCATTGGTCTCATCACTCACGCCCCCCACCAGCACTTACTCAGCTACCTAGATACCCGAACTTCTCGACTACGTCTATCTGCTCACCATCCAGGGTGAATAGAGGATTAGGATCCTGCCAGTCTTGTATAAGTACTTTGCACTTGGAAGGTGCAAAGCACATACCATACCTACGGACACTGATTCTCAACTGATTAAGTGCGGATTGCATGGCTTGGGCATTATCGCACAGTACGACAATATCATCCGCATACTCAAGGTCGAGAAGTTGGAGATGTTAGATCCCCAGAACTAACTTGGTAACCAGCACCTTATTTCTGTGCATTCATTTTAAAAATTCGAAATTATTGTTTTCGCGCCAAAAACGTTCATTTTTACCTTTATATCGTATTTCCCACTTGGGAGAATCTTAAACGTTATTGGTTCATTGTATCTTTTAGTAGACTATTTTGTAACGCTTCCCAAGGTCAATTTTATGTTAAATATATATATATATATATATATATATATATATATATATATATATATATATATATATATATATATATACGTTTGATTTGTGCCTGTTGTGATTGCTCTTACTTCTGGCTGCTTGTAGTATATATTTCCGCATTTCGAATTCGGACTTCTCTATCTACTTAGCGGGCCTGGGATGCGTCAGAATAGCTAGCTTTCTATCATTGTGTTACAGAATCTCCATTGCGGTCTCAAGTCAGGCGAACTCGTAATCACTTCAAACATAGCAGACTGTTAACATTTGAAACCGATTGATATTATATCTTGCACACAAAGATGGAACAATCCAATTATTTTTAAGAGAATAAACGGAAATATTTTAAGTCCATAAATATACCCAGCAGAAGGGTGATTATATAATGGTTTCCTGGAGACTTAGACGCCGTTAAGGCTTTTTAAAACTGTAACATGAGATTTCAGTTTTATGTTGATATTACAGGTATCTGTTGAGCCGGCTTCCGGAGAACTTCAACGGAGCCTCCAGAGGCCCAAAAAGGAGCCGAAGGGCCCTAGCCAATCAGAGTATGATGGAACGTTCGAGAATTCCAACGTGGCGTGCTACTATTGGTCAGTAGTATAATATGTCGTTAACGGATTGGCTGAAATATGATGTTGATTTAACAGACGCCAACATCTATAAATACCTATGATTTTCTGTACAAAAACGAACCTTGGGATAAAGTATTTTCTCCCATACTTGTGTTTTCTCTCTGGTGTTCAAGTCGCTGTGTAATTCTAGACTGCGGGTTACCAGAATAGCTTAGGAAAACGAATATAGCGTTCGATCGACAAGACATATCAGCATCAAGAACCGTAGTGTATAGAACTATTTCAATGGAAAATTTGCTACCCCATCATGCATAGATCAATCATCTTTGAATAGTTAATAAATAGATTAGATGATAACAAGTGGATATGAAATTTGTTGGTCCATTTCAGTAGTATATTAGACTTGAGTATTAAAAAAACAGCTTATATAGTGATATAATTCTCGTGATTTATTATTATTCCATTTTAATTCACCACTGTTTATAAAGTTCATTTAAAATATTATTCATCGAATGGTAGCCCCTCTGGGGCTACTGCCGGTCCCAAGCCCTGATAAAGGAAAAGGGTTAGACATGCGGCTAGCGACCGCATCCCGTAGAAAACTAACTCGCTAAAAAAACTGACCGCAAAAAATAATTCAAACTATTTAAACTCTGTCCTGAGTATTAGAAGGTCTTCATTCAGAAGAGTTGTAACGTCCATGGTAAAAGTCAAGTTTATTCGGAACTCACGAGGTTGATGTTCCTTCTGACAACCAGAGCAACCATTAATTTAGGTACATGGAATGTTCGTACAGTGGGGGAGACCGGTAGAGCCATCCAAATTTCTGCAGAAATGAAAAGATACAATCAGGAGATGCTTGGAAGCCAGTGAAACACAGTGGACGCAGGTTGCACAACAAGCACTCGCTTCAGGGGAGTTACTGTTATACTCTGGTCAATTTATCAGAACACAATACTAATTATCCTCAAATGGTCCAGACGAATACCTATATAATATTTATACTTTCTCAGTCTTACGTTCGATGAACATCAAGGCAAAGTCAAGCACAATTCCTTCCCTCTCTCTTTATATATATATAAGGGACATGATGAAGACGCGAATCGGCAAAGCAAGAGCAAACAACTGTCAACCAACATCAAGGTCAGAATTTTCAATCAAAATATCAACACCGTTCTACCGTATGGGGCGGAAACCTGGAGAACTACGAAAGCAATCATCCAGAAAATACAAGTGTTTGTTAAAGGTTGTTTACGTAAAATACTTCAGATCCGTTGATCAGACACTATCAGCAACAACCTACTATGGGAAAGAACAAACCAGATCCCAGTGGAGGAAGAAATCAGGAAAAAGTGTTGGAAAAGGATAGGACACACATTGAGGAAAGCACCGAACTGTATCACAAGGTAAGCTCTCACATGGAATCCTCAAAGCCAAAGGAGAAAACGAAGACCAAAGAACACATTACGCCAAGAAATGGAGATAGACATGAGAAAAATGAACAAAAATTGGATAGAACTAGACAGGGAAGGCTCAGGACAGAGTGGATTGGAGAACGCCGATAAGTAAGTAATGGGATGTGATCAACGGTGGAATCTATAACACACATCTCGTCCTATTTACAACTTGTCAACTGGATACACCTATAATCCCAATTATGTTCTAAGTTCATTCGTTCAAAACAATAGTAATTAATTAAAGAATCAATAATATGTATATTTTAAACCAAAAAATACTTATCACAATGCTTAATATATCCAGTCATATTTAAGAATGGAATCAATTACATTTCATTTAATCAATATCTGATTTCTTTGCTGGAACACCACCACTAATAAATGGAATAATTAATTCTGGACCTCTTTTATGTAAATGTGATAATGAAGAAACAGATGGAAGTATACGATGTGGTAATCCATCGTCATCATCATCCATATATGGTACAATTGGCCATCGATAATTAAATGGTAGATAAGCAGCATTTAATTCATAAAATTGTTTATTCAATATTAAGATCATAATACAAAATGTTATAAATCCATTGAATGTATAACTCTAAATATAGAAAAGAAAGAAAAGAATTTGAGTCTCATTCTTTGAATCATGGACTGATCTTATTTATTTATTTATTTTAACACATAGATATTGGTACAAGAAGGCACAAAGTACATATGCACCACACAAATCTCATTCGATATATGTGAGGGCTATGATACTGCCCGGGTGTCCAAACCTAAGCAGGTACTGAGAAACGCCTCCGGGTGGGCTCGAACCATCAACCTTTCGGTTAACAGCCGAATGCGCTAAGCGGTTGAGCCACGGAGGCGATCTTAGTTAGACAATCATTAATAATCGGAAAGCACTGAAAAACTTGTTTTTTTCCCATTTCAAGGTACGGATCAATCACTTCACTAGGATTCGAGCTCAGAACTTTAACGTTTTCGGGATAATGATTATTCTTTAAGCCATTGATCGCAGATTGAATGGTGTATATACTTTTTGTTTAATAAATTATGATCATGTTATCACTAGTAACCGTCTTCGAGAGGGAATTTCAGGAGTTTCATTAAGATACTATGACCAATGAAGTTCAAATGTATCAGGTTTGAGTCAGTTAACACTTCAGATAATTGAAAATGCTCTGGATCGGTGATCTATTTATCAAAAGTTCTCCTCGAGAGCTAAAGGTCTTGGATTCTATCTACTATAGATGCTTGTGCATTTCTAAAGTGTTCCAAATTAAGAGAACACAGCTAACCAGTACTTCTTGTCTTTGAATCGTTATCCAACAATAACACGTCCGTGACGAGAACTATGGAAATATAAAACTTATATATAACTTCATTTCTGTAGGAAATCGATTTGTTTACTGAATTTTATTGAGAAATATCGTGACAGAATAAATCACACATACCATATGTTATTTATAATGGAAAGAACATTAATAATTGAATGGATTTTCCAAATTTTATTTATTTTATTTCATTTGAACACATAAATATTGGTACAAAGAGGCACTGAATACATATGTGCCACACAAATCACTTGATTTGTGTATGGGCTGTGATACTGCCCAGGGGGTGTCATACCAACAACCTTCAAACTAAAAGTCTGATCCACAAGGCAAGGGGACAACTTCAGGAGATGCAGTCCCATGGTAACAGGTCACCAACACCAGGTTCGTACACCATTGGCTGCTACAGGATCCTGGGGCCCATGTGCATCATTGATTTGGAGTCAGGGTTTTCCAACTCCCCTAGGTGGACTCTCAGTATCCACTAACACGATTAAAGCGCCGGGTATTAGCTTTCCGTTCTCTCAATTTCGTAAACAATACCCCCACCACAAGAAGGCAGTGAGTAGAACTTCCTTGGTAGTGACTGTATACGCGGGGCCATGTGAGAGCATTTTGAGAAGGAGAGTAGACTCTCCCCAACCTCGACCGTACCAGAGCATTTCAAAATTGACCCGTCATCATATACAGTGGCTGCAGATAATTAGCGATTGACTAAAGAAGAACACTTTCCCACAAACTATTGAATTAAATTCTACTCAAGATCTGTTTTATTGATAAGATAACGCAAAAATTCCAAATCCCATCACCATTTTTAATTTGAACCTAGTTAATTTTAAAAAAACCCAATGGGTAGTTGTTTTTCTTCATTAAAATATGTTAGACCATTGACATTGTCTGTGTTTTACTAGATCTATATGTAAATATTTTAAGATTCTGTCATTATTTATATAATCAATGGTACAGATTCTTAACAGGTTTACAAACTTACTGATCACTATGTTCTGATAAACATCATTTTAATTTAACATTTCAGTGTTGATCAAATTCTACCGTTCAGTTTACAATGTGGTTACTAGTCTAAATAACTCAATATTGTGTACAGGTGGTTGAAAGTAGTCAGAAGGAATTCTAGTTTCTTGAGGGGAGTTAATACTCTCCATGAGAGGTGGAATATTACTAACTACATTCAATTTCCATCAAATAGTGTATTCATATACCTGTCACGTTATTTTCATTCCTCTTTTTTTAGTATATTTAGAACTATACTAATTTATAATAGTCAGTAGTTCATTTTATTTACGATATTTTTTCGAGAACATTTTGTCATATAAAATGTTAAGTGAAATGGTGGATAGTGCCTAGCCGTGGAACCAAGGACGCGCGTTTCGTCCTTTTTGTGACTCGTCAGCTGGATGAACCTGCATCTCATAGTTGATATTCAATCTGAGACTCGAACCCAGTAACATTCGCTTCAAACGCCATCGCGTTATCTACTTAGCTACTGAGTTCTGATAGCCACTTTCTTGTGCAATGGGGTGAATTTAAATTCACTTGGTATTATTTGGTTTGTATCTTTCCATTGAGGTTTAAGACTGCAATTGATGTTAAGTGAAGTGACCATGGTAAACACCTATACTTTTGTTTGATATTTAGTTTCATCTTTCTTGTACAAGATTTATTACACTGTGAAACATTATTTAAGTCACTCTTCTAATTCCTAAGATGTATTCAAAGTTTTCGATTCCATTCATCATTTAATCATTAAAATAAAACCCTCATAATGTTATGCAATAATATTTGAAATAAAATGAATATTCCTACGTTCTTATAGGAATTCAATACATGGATTCAAGCATTATTACAGCCATGTATGAATATAACATCTATTGGTTTCAGTAAGAATCAAGTATGGATATTATTAGTCATCAGACTCAAGTAGTACATGGATGTAATACATAAAATATGCATTTTCAGTGTGCAATTTGAATGTAATAATCATCAAGTGTTCATATCCTGAAAAGAATTATTTCAGTTCATTGAACTAGTTCATGTGAAATAAACTGTTTCATCATAAATGATTACAGTAGACTTGGTATTCAATTAGTTTAACTGGGCACCAAAGGTTTCATTGATATGTAATTAAAGCAATGGACAATTGAAATAACTCACAAGCAATATCATATGTCAAAATACGACAGACTAAAAACTATGCTTCATACATTTTCTATTTCATTACTTTACTACTTATAAGTAGTTAATATAATGTTTATAAATGCAATTACAATGGTTGAGATCATGAGTCGATTGAAGCTAGACAATCATAGAAAACATGGAAGCACTTGACGGTTGTTTCATCCTATTCTGGGACTTCTCAGCAGTGTGGATCTACAATCCCGCCTAGTGAGATTCGAATCCAGGACCTATAAATCTCGCTCGTGAACGCTTAACCTTTAGACCACTGAGCCGACCGGCATCCAATGGTGTTAATGTCTAACTCCAACCAATTCACGGGGCGGGATCGTGGATGTGCACTGTTGAAGAGTCCCATGCTAGGACATAAGCGGCAGTCTAGTACTTCCAGGTTTTTCATAGTGGTTTAGCTTCAACTAACTCATGAATTCAATTATTAAATTATTCTTAATCACTAGGAATTAGAATGTGAAATCATCACTAAAATGACAATTAATGTCTCATAATAAATATATGTCTTTTCTCATGACAACATAATTGAAATGAATAGAGAGTGTATAAAACATCATATGGTAGAATCAATTATATAATTAAATTGCTTTATTTATATTATATTGTTTAATTGTTTGTTTGTTATTCATCAGATTTTCATTGTCAGTAGTATATTTTTCTTTTCTTTTCAATTCACTTGTGAAATTTCAAACAAAATTAATTTTATAAAATTGATTTGAAGAAAATTAAAAAACAAACAACATGGCAGATAATGTTGCTATGACATAACTGTCAAAATGACGGATGATGATTATGTAACACAATGATCTAGTTTAAGTAGAAAACATTCTTGGGATACATTGAAATTTTCACATAGAAAGGGGGGGTTGTGAAGATTGTAATAATTTGAATTCTTGAGTCAATTAAAGCTGGATCATCATTGAAAACTTAGAAGCACTGAACAGTTGTTTACGTCCTAGTATGGGATTCATTAACTGTGTAAATCTACGATCTCGCCTTGTGAGATTCGAATCCAGGACCTCTAGACTGCTAAGCCGGCATCCTGATAGCTATAACAACAATCCTTGATTCACATGTACTTTGCCTTAAATCTGGCCAATTCTATGGATTAGTAATTTGGATATGAGATAATCATAGAGTACCTGATGAGAAATTCATTGAAATGAATATTCTTCATTCATATAATTGTGTTTTATTGACTATTTAAAAGATCACATTTAAATACTAATAAATTATTTCACTAGGTGAGATCATGAGTCAATTGAAGCTAAACCATCATGGAAAACCTGGAGGCACTGTATGACCGTTTCGTCCAACTGTGAGACTCCTCAGCAGTGCGTATCCATAATCCCACCCCATGAAATCCGAACAAAGGACTTATCGGTCTTGCGCGTGAACGCGTTATCTCTAAACCACTGAGCTGGCCAGCATACAACGTTGTTAATGTCTAACTTCAACTAATCCATGGAATTGAGCGACACATCCATCATTGTCTTCAGTGAGTTACTATCTCACAACAGACTTGGTTAAATTACTTCAGAATTTTAGTTGTTTTATGTAAAGGAAATAAAGTGCGATTAAAACATGAAACGTTTAGTTTTTTTTCCAGTGAAACAAATAATAACCTCTATTTTTAAGATGTGCATTAATGTATGAAGTTTGTAGACATTGGCAAAATGTATAGTTAGCACAAGGAATTGATCATAGGTAAGCAATAAGAACCATGAAGTACTAGACATTTATTTCCTTCAATCTCCATCAATCCACATTTATAGTAATAATAATCTTGTTCTCATTAGTAGTAAATACATTTGAGAGATAGTTCTTAGAGTTTTAATGAGAATCTGTAACCATAGGAGTTTTGTTATGTTCTATACTAGACAGTTACTTACTAATAATTTATCGAATCTTGAATCATTTTTCTAAAGGACAAATGTTCATAGAGGGATTTGAAAGTTCTACGTTTGATAGTTGATGGGTATGGATTAATTAAGTAGTCCCATTCTATTATGAAACTATGTCAGTATTTAATCAATTTCACCTAGACTATCTATTT